TTTTTGTCTCCATTAAAACACAATAGGGAGTCATCTGGAAACTGAATGTGGTTAACTCAGGGGATGGTAGATTGGAGAAGACTTTGATTACAGGAGATGGCCTAAAACTCACAGAAAAAGTGGTAACTCTGAGGTGTATGTGTATATTCATGCAAGCTTGCATGAGAGGTCTCTTCTGTTATTAAGTTCTTTGGATGAAAAACGCAGCTCTGTACAGTAAAGACAGAAGGATGGAACCATTGAGGAGTAGCACCAGCAGAAATAAAAACACAGCTTTTTCTCATTCTCTCTCAGTGAAGCAATAAATGCTGTGATGACTTCTTTATCTCATAACTTCAGACAATTCTGGGGTCTTATGAAATATATGACAGAATCAGGATATGCCAATGAAAGAGGTGAAGGAGAAATCTCCCAGATCCTGGATATCTCACATCCTTTCAGCACTGCAGTGATAAATAAGAGATTATTGGAGCCTGCAAAAGACATATGAGCTAAGAAGTGCTATCATGTTTCTTTCAAGGGGTTTGAATGTTTGTATTCCCCTAGCACCATGGTTGCACATAGCAGACAAGAAGAAAGAAAAAGAGGTCTTGTGCTGCAATAGCTAGAGAAAAAAAAGCTGAAGAAACTCAATGCTATTTGGATATGTCATATACTTATCTTCCAGCCTCTAGATGTGGTTGCTTATTATCTTACCTCTTTTTTCAATATGGCACTTTGTTGCAATTCAGTCTCAGTTTGATGGCCAGCTACAAAAGCAACTTCAAGAGAAACTAAACATTGTTGTGCCTAAGCTGCTTTCAGTCACCTGGTAGCCATGGCTGTGATGATAAGAAGACTTGACTTTAATCCTTGGGAGTTTCACAGAAATCGCAGATGTGGTTCTTACTGATCTGGCTTCATCTTTCTTTTCTTTCTTCTGTTGCTATGCGATCTGACCGTATTCTGTGATGTGGATGCTGGTATCAAGAGTCTGAAAAATTTCTTGAAGGCAGTTTCCTTTTGTCTTGGCTATCACCTCCTACTTCTAAATCCTAGTCTGGATTTAGACCACTATAAAGCCAGTGGGTCTGGAAATTGTAAGGAAATGGTGTATTCTATCAAATTCCTATCCCATTTCATCGTACTTTTTCATGGGTGCCTCTTACAATTTGCTATTCAAATAAGTGAGCATTCAAAGAGATTTCCTTAGAATGCAAAAGCAGGGAGCACTTACCTCATCATTTTTTTCACTAAAAATAAGAAAGAATGTGGTATTCCAGACATTTGATACCTCACTGCGTTAATCTGTGATTTCAAGTCTCAGATGATGATTTTAGGCTGCACAGTTCCCTAGGTCAATCTTCAAGATTGCTTTGTGGTTCTCAGTACTCAAGATTTTTTTTTTCACGCGTGTTCGTCCAGCCTGCAGAAAATACCTTACATCAGTGCTAGGAGCATCTCATTACCAGTATAGAGTCTTGCTCTTTGATCTTTCTAAAGCACTGGTAGTAATAACTAAATATTTGGAGGTCATGATGGTGCCATGAGACACAGGATCCATGCTTTGACTCAAACACAGGGTTAATGAGAGCATTGTTAGCTTTCAAGTTTAGCAGGATCTTACCCGTATCTCCAATAGAAGATAAAATATGCTTCAGATTCTGGCAAGAGCTACTGGCCTCAGGCATCTAAATGACATGACTTCAGACTTCACTTGTGCTTCAGAGGGAGATAGCCAGTAGATAACTTGGTGCATCTACAGAGCAGATGTTGGATGGGTATGGTGTTGAAGGTCCTGTAGGAAATTTTCTCCTGCGCATCCTGAAGGAAAGATGCTTTTCAGGTGAGCAATGAGGTGTTCTTCTATCTTCTTACATTTATTCAGACTGAGGATGCATCTCTTCTGAGATATGAGCAGCTTGCCTTGGTCCCTCACACTCACACATCTGCTTTTGAAGAAATACTCCGTTCAAATATTTTAAATGGGCATCGTGTCCAAAGGCGAGGAGAAGGCCACCTGACTCTGGGCTTTGTGTTTGTAGGTTTATGTCTTCTATGTTTTCAGGTTTTGTTAATGGATAACCTTAACAGACAGCACATAGTAACAGATTTTTCAAGGACCTATTATTAGGGAATTAATTATTAGGAATGTTAGGGAAAATCCATTAACTAAAGCGATAACCATAAATGAGAACAGGAAATGCCAAGTTTAAGACCTAAGAAGGCTCCAGCATGGACTCCTTGCCCAGCTCCTTTTGGTCACCCAGGGCCAGAATTCAACCTTTCCCTCACATACGATGATACTGGAGGTCTTGAAGAAACTGAGGGGAAATTCTGCACTGAAGATTATGGTAGTCCCAGTTTAGAAACTTGTGGTATTACTTCATGTTACCTGAATTTAGTCAACCTCTCCAGAAATCTTCAATCCTTTGGCCTGTTTTACCTGATGTATACTGTTATAGAACTTGACAAATCATGTATCTGTATTTGTTCACTGGGTCCAACGTCACTATCTCTGATGACTTGCATGCAGTCTGACATGCGGTGAAATGCAGCTGTTCCTTGAATTTCAGAACATTCTGTTCCAAAATGAGATTTTAGGTAGACTGATTTACAAGTTAATTGGAAGCGGTTTACTGTATTTCAGTAGCAATGCCTGTTTCAACAGTGTAGTCTAGACACAAAACAGTCTGGGGTTGTTATCTGCTCCATAAAGATCTTTATGCTGACATTATCTGCGTGTCATCCTCTTGTATAGGTTTGTGCCATAACAAATTATCTGACTAACTACATTCTAAGTAGCTGTTACATAGCTTAGTGGTAGGAGAGTCAGTCCGCAGGGCAGCTTCTCCATAAAGAATGCATTAGAAGCCGAGGATCCTCACAGATCTCATTTCAGGTTAGTGTCTGACGTGAATTTGGAATGCCGTATGAACCAGTCTCCTGTTTCTTCTTTGCTGAGGAAAAGCAATACTTGAAACAGTTGAGCTGGAATTAATCTCACCTAACCTCATCCATCTGAAAGTCAGGCATCTAGTCTCCCTCCATAGTAAATGGATAAAGAAATAAAATAATTTCCCTTACTGTCTTGTATGAAAATATGTACATATCTAAGATACATATCTTCAGATAGGCGTGTCTAAAGAGTATTTAACTATTCTCTGTTAACTAGTATTTAACTAGTCTCTGTTAACTATTGAAGGACCTTAGCTTGATGTTAGTTTCATGAGGTGAATGTGGTCATAATGCGGTCATGTTATTTTAAGAAGACAGTTCATTCAGGGACATACCTAGACTGTTTGTGATCTTTCATGAAAAGGGTCAAGATCCAGAAATATCCTCTCTAGGTTTATGAAAGTGGATCTCAAACTTCATAAGAACACATTGTGAGCTTTGTAATTTACGTTAGTTTACAGGTAGCGTAGTTTATTCCGTTTGTTTTCAGATAACCCCTTCTACCTAAATTCTCATTTGCAAAATTGAGAGTGCTTGAGCTATACCTCTGTAGGAACCTGTTGTTTGATAAAGATGTTCTGAATGTATCCGTTCCTAATGGAACTCTTGTCAGTGCTTGAGAGAGACTCTTCATTCCCAGCTTGGAGTAGTTGTACATTTTTGGTTAGTAACCACGAATGGAATCCATATGGAGGGAAACAGACAATAGCTGTGCTTCTCTGAAATATGTTTTCCACATGGATTCCAAAACTCAGACTCCTTCCCTGCTATTATAGAGTCCTCTATTTCCGGCGTATATATCAACAAAAGAGTGAAGGACAGACAGTTCTGCACATTGCACTCTTTATCCAGTTTAGATAAAGTGAGGGTATGAGTCAGTGGGAGCCAGGGCTCTGTCAGTTCCAACTTTTAGCAGATCTGTTTGATCTCAGGTACATGGGATGCACACACAGGAAGGCTGTGGTTTCACAAGCAGTTTGAGCTGCCTCAAGTGTAGGTTACTTCTGAGAGAAGTCTGTTCTTCAGCACCTTTCCCTTTGTCAGTGCTTGTGCCTCAGTGGCTGCATCATGAGTGAGATCGTGTTGATCAGCATCAACATGATTTAAAAAAAAAAAAAAACTTTTTCAGCTGGCTCAGTTCCTTCATTCTGTTTCTTTTGTAACCTTGCAGACAGTAGGATTAGCTCAAGCCATCTGGGAGGAAAGCACTTCCCTGTTTGGTGGTAGTTCTCATTTAGATAATGCTGTCATTCATCAAATGCTTTAAGCAAAATTGTGGAATCCATATGGACAGCACATCTGAAGCTGCCATTATGGAGAGGGATTAAACTTTTTTTACTGCCGAAGTGGTTCTACTTTGGTCTATGGGTTTGACTCAGGATTTTTACTGTCTAGCAGTAAGATTTATATAAAAGTATTTGTTCGGTATGTAAGTACGAGTTTTACAAGTAAGGAAAGAAACCTTTGTACAATGTGTCAAGTAGTTTTTAAACATAGATTTAGAACTCAGTCCCACTTCCAATAAAATCAAAGACAAAACTTTTGTTAATTCCGAATTGTTTTCTGAGACTCTAGTATGTTGGGTCTTGATTCCACAAATCGTCAGCATGAAATAGCTGATGTCCAGACTGTCCATGATAGTCCCACTGACATTAGTCTTGTTCTATCTTGATTATTTTATGAATAAACTATATTGTTTACAGTGTGTAGTAGGTGTACTTACTGCATTAACCTTATCGACGTGGTGTCTAAGTGTTTGGAACTGTGAAGATTAAAAACATTGCATTTTTTGCATTTAGGAAAGCTCTTGTAGGATAATTAGTTTTCTTGTGGAGAGTGGATTTTGACAACGTCGTTTGTGTGTGTTCTGACCTTTGTGCATGTAGTAAATATGAGCTATTTTGAGGTACCATCTTAGTTCAAAACTGGGTAACTTCTTTGGGTAGAAATGTACAGATGGATGCACGAGACATCTGTTGTGTAGCAGTTTGTTGGTATGTCAAAATGAAAAGGTTTTGTCAGATGAATTTAATATTCTAATCCTCTGGCTTTTTTCTCTTTAGGTTGCAGCAATCTATAAAGATTCAAGTATTGGAAATCTTATAAATATAGTTATTGTAAAGTTAATTGTAATTCACAATGAACAGGTAGGAAAAATATTAAAGAATTACTTTCTATATGTAAATTTCCATTGTAATTCAAAAAAATTTTGCATAATTTATTTTTAAATACTTTTTTCTTTGACTATATAATTTTTTTTTAGAAAAAGAATAAATGTCAATTGGGGTGGTAGCACACTGCAGATTTAATTAATGTATAAAGAGATTAACTGCAGATCTTTTTTTTGGATGGCTGTATTTCCCCATTTCTCTGTTAGCACCTCTTGTTGACCTGAATGGGCTTAAAGCTTGTGGCATAACTATCTAAAGTAGAGTTATGCTTATGCAAACATGACAGGGAAATGGTGACTTTTAATAGAGGATTTTGATGGAGTTTTCAGCCAAAGCAGATGTAATTATTTTAAGACTGTAACAAGTATACTTTTTTCAAATATTTAGTTTACTGATTTATCCTAAATGTCTTGCTACCCTATTTTTCTATATGCGTGCTCATATGTATTGATTAAAAATAATGCTTCTGATGACAGATGATTTTTAGCTACGTTAAGACCCTGATACTGCAAACAAATCTGCGTGAGTGATCCTGTGTGGAGTCCCATTGACTTCCTTTCTGCTCACAGTGATCATTTTGCAGATTTGGGGCAGAAATGACAGGATAATAAGTGAAAGTGCATCAATATTACAACTTTTTTTTATTTCTTGGCCATTTTTTGCTTAGGAAGGACCAACTATCACTTTTAATGCAGCTACGACTCTTCGTAACTTTTGCTTATGGCAGCAAGCACAAAACATTTTGGATGATGCTCACCCTTCTCATCACGATACTGCTGTTCTTATCACTAGGTACAGTATTTGCAATAGCCAGAATTGTTCAGCTAGGTGGGACAAATAATTTCTTGTTTACATCATCATTTTTAACCATTCCGCTAATATTATTCATAGCTAATTGGAAAAATAAAGGATGTCCTGTACTCGCTAAACCACAGATTATCAGGACATGAGCAATAACTCTGACGATACGATGTTGGTAGCTAACCATTTGATCAAGCTTTCATTAAAGATAATAGAAATTATTTAGACCGGAAATTGTTACAAGGAAAATGAAACCTTTAGTTATTGTAGACATGGCAGCGACATGGTATTGTGCTCTGACGGTACTGAAATCAGCTAAAAGGTGCAGTGATGATCACCTCCTGATAGTCCAGGTGTATTAGAACTACCAAAAACTTACAAATGGAAAAAAATTAAAAATTATTATATATTCTTCTTGCAGTCTGCTTTCCTCAGGTTCTGAGGTTCAGTCATTGAAATGCATGCTCTCTCTTGCTGTTCTTTTTCTTTAATTTTTTTTCTGGTCTTCAAATCAGATGCTCCCCAACACTTCAAATGATTTTACGTTTATCCTGAATTTTATATCATTATTTTAGCAGATGGATGCCTGCATAAGGTAGTTCCAACTGTACCGAAGTCTGCACATTTTTCAGCAGCATTTTATGCTTGATCTAC